GACTTAATAATACTAACGTAATGGACGGAGTTTAGACAAAGAGAATCGGTGACAACGTCTTAGAAAAGGATACAAACAACAAATCAGCTGTTATACGGCATAAGCAAGCCAAAGCGTCGTGTGAGCTAATAGGTTTCGTTTGTGTTTTTAACATTGTGTTCGAATTTGAAAGTGAGTAGTGGTGTAATATAGTTTTGGAAGACATTAATATTGACTAATTTACTTTTAAAAACAATGGTTTGTTCGTGCTGTGCTTACAATTGTACCCAACGTCAAAAAAAAGGAAGTGGCATATCTTTCCATTCGTAAGTAGTCTTCGTTTTATTTGAATCAGTTCATTTTCATTTGCTTTTATTTATTTATTGATAAATTGATTCTATATATTTTTTAAGATTTCCCAAGGACCAGGAATTAAAAAAGAAATGGATAGCTGCAATAAGGAGGGAAAATTTTGAGCCTACAACAACAACAAAATTATGTAGTCTTCATTTTCAAAGCACGGATTTTGAAATTAATTTTGGAAGGACAATATTACGTAAAGGCTGCGTGCCCAGTGTGTTTGATTTTCCAGCTCACTTGCAAAAGAAAGTAAACAAACCGCGTCCTTCTAAACGTCGACATGAGGAAGCTGCAATTTCTACCATTTGTGTTGAGGCACCAGTAATATTAACTGAAGCAAGCAGTGAAAATTTTATTTGTGATGAAAATAATGATGTGGCAAGTAGACGCCAAGAGCCAATTGTAAAATATGCGTCAAGAAAACGCAAACTGCCATATTATTTTGGGGATTTTGCAGAAAAAGATTTGGCAAACCCAGAAAATGTGAAAAATATGTGGTTATGCGCAAAAAAGACGATTGATAAACATAAACGTACGATAAAATATTTACAAAATCGTACGTATAAATTGATGCGAAAAATTAAATCTCTGAAAGATGTGATTCATCATTTACGAAGCACTCGAAAAATCTCAGATCACTGTTATTCTGTATTACAGGTTTGAAAGAATTTTTATTTCTACAATTTGTAGATCATTAGGGAGTATGCAACAAGTATATTTATTCTTATTGTCGATTGTTTATCTATTTGAAAATTATTTACAAGTATTTTTTTATATAGTTATCAGGTAAATTATTTTGGTAAGTCTGTTGTTATTGTTATAATTTATTGGTCTCTCATGCAGTTATGTAGATATTATATTATTTATTTGCATGTTACATTTTGCAGGTATATTGTTATTGTGCATAATTTTTTTTCAGCAAATAACATATGAAAATTTGTACGGCATGAATTTATATTTTTTCAAACTGTAGGTATAAGATTTAACATTATTTTCTGTTGCAATTTCGTTTACTAGCTGGAAGAGCATGGAAAAAACAATTTCTTGTCTTTTAGATTCATCACTCCACCTAATGTCTTCATCTATGAATTTAACTGAATTATTTATTCTTTTGAGTGCTCATTTTTAGGGATACACACCTGTTGGTGTACAACAATCGCATTCGGAAATGGTACGTAAGTAGCGTTGGAATAATGTTTCTTTTCATATTTCAGGAAATTTTAAATTGATATTAATAATGTTGATTGCACAACAAAAACCAAGTATGGGACAAATTTTACAACATGAATCATACAAATGCAAAATATATAGATACTGAATTATTAAAATTTGAATGATCGCATGTTACGTTTGCAGGTATTAATAATATTATAGTATTTTGTAAAATAAATTTGGATTATTGTCTGATGTATAGAAAAAAAGTCATAACTAACATAGCACGAATGCTACATAATCATATTAAAACCGTAGGAATAGCTTAATATTGCAATGGAGTATATACTCCTCTTTTGGATAATTTATTAATGTAGTATTTTCTAGGAATGTACACCTGTTAGTGTGCAACAGTTGCTTTTAAGAACCATGAAAGTATCTACAGAGAAACAGTATGAAGAAGAACTCCGAGTATTTGCGTTAACTTTAAATTTTTATTCAACCTCCGCATATAATTACATCCGAAAAACTTTTGCCAAATCACTCCCACATCCAAAAACATTAGAGAAGTGGTATCGAGCTGTAGATGGTTCCCCCGGATATACCCGTGAAACACTGCGAGCTGTGGAAATTAAGGTTAAAGAAATGAGAAAGGAAAACAAACTTCTTGTTTGTGGATTGATTATGGACGAAATGTCAATCCGTCAACATGTGCAGTGGAATGGAAAACGCCAAACTGGTTACATAAACTATGGTTTTAGAATGGATGGAGATGGTCTCCCTGTTGCCAAAAATGCTCTGGTATTTCTTTTAGTTTCCCATAGTTGTAAATGGAAAATCCCAGTAGGGTACTTTCTTATTAACGGTTTAAATGCACAGGAGAAAGCTACGTTAGTGAATGGTTGCCTAACTATGCTCTCAAATGTTGGAGTTACTATAGTATCTTTAACTTTTGATGGAGCTGCAGCCAATTTATCTATGGCATATACTTTAGGGGTTGACATTTACAATTATAAAAATTTAAGAACCTATTTTCTTCATCCTTTAACAAAGGAACCTATTTTTATAATTTTAGATGCATGCCATATGATAAAACTAATTAGAAATGCATTAGCTGACTGGGGGGTATTGTACAACGGAGATAACAACCCTATTTTGTGGCAATATTTTGTTCACTTAGTAGAATTGCAAGAAAAATGTGGTTTACACGCTGCCACAAAAATACGTAGACGACACATTAACTACGAGAAAAATAGAGAAGTAATGAAAGTCAAGTTGGCGACACAAGTTTTTAGCATCAGTGTATCAGATGCTCTTAAATATTGTTGTTTAGATTTACAATTGGAACAATTTCAAAATGCTGTTCACACCGCTGAATTTTGTTTAATGATTAACAACATATTTGATCTCATGAATACCCGAAACAGTTTATCCACAAGTATGTACAAAAAATCTTTAACCAAGTATAACAACAGTTTCCTTAAAAAATGTTTTAATAATGCTTGCAGTTATATTTCCAACTTGAAGGATCTCAGGGGTCAAAATATACTTGTTTCATCGAGGAAAACTGGATTTTTAGGATTATTAGTGAATATGAAATCCATTGAAGGTATTGTTGATAATCATATTATAAATCACTGTAATATCAAATATCTCTATACCTACAAGTTAAGCCAAGATCATTTAGAAATGTTCTTTTCAAACATCAGAGCAAGGGGAGGTTTCACCAATAATCCTACAGCTATACAGTTTGAAGCAGCATATAAAAAGATTTTAATACATACTGAGCTTTCCAGTTCAGAGGCTGCAAATTGCCTAGCTCTCGATGAAACAAGTATATTGAAAGTAGTTAGTACAAACAAATCTCATTACAGTTTAGATCTCATTTCATACGACTGCGAAGACGACGAAGAACTAAATGTATCCTTGCCACAATACATGGAAAAATATATATTTGATGTAGTCCAATATATTGCGGGGTTTATTGTGAAAAAATTAAAAAAAACACTGAAATGTGATGTCTGTTTGAGTGCTCTCATAACTGAACGTTCAAATTCTAGTTTGTTGAATCGTAAGAATCGAGGAGGGCTCATTCACCCGTCACATGAAGTCATAAAATTATGTCGAATTGCAGAGACTATTTTTAGATGTACATCTTATTTTTATGAAAACAATATAATTGATAAATTAGTTATGCAAGCAGCACGAAAAGTCAATATTGGAGATCTCTTCAAAGATATTTCTGAACATATTAAAATCCAACCACCCAGAAATAATCACTTGATTCAATTAATGTACTTAATATTTAAATATTATTTTTGTATAAGATTAAATCATAGAAACAAATCTTTACAAGACAACGAAGTCCGTGTAAGACATGTGTACACTAAGCTTATTCATTTTAAACATCAATAGACTTTTGGCAGTGATTATTATTTAGTTTTAATATAAATAAAATCGAAAATATGTTTTTCCTAGGATCTCCTTTAATATTATTCAAGAATTTATACATAAATCTCATTTAACAAACAGGGTGTAAACTCTTCAATAATGAACAAAAATTAATCTGAGTGCAAAGTGTAATCAAATCAGGACAATGTACTTAATTCGTTCTATAATTGAATTGACGTGTTTGTATTAATACAGTTGTTTGTGTTTTTTGTTTATTATGTATTTATCATTGTTGATTTTTTTTATAGGTGACATTAATAAATTCTTTACTTTTAAACAGTGTATTATTATCCGTTTCCCTATATGTTGCATTTAAAATTTGCCTGGTTTTGCCGTAAGTCACGTGGTATGGATTAGCTGTCTTTGTCAGATAACCGAGTTGCTATATTTGATTATCCCTGTCTAATGTTGTCACCCTCTTTCTCCAATGCTAGTGTCGTTCAGACTCCGTCCATTACGTTAGTATTATAATGTCAATGACTCGATAAATAACATAACCTCAAACACCTCCGAAAACGTTCAAATCAATATAAATCCTGACGTCAGCAACACAAAGAATTTATCTGTTCCTTTCGTAACCTTCAACAATTGTTTTAATAGTTTTGTGATGAATATCCAAAAATAATTCTAATTATGTTATTTATAACAATATTTCATGAATTGTAAAAGTTTCTTGTAAAATGAATAAAATTAAAAGAAAAATAAATGAGTATGTCTGGTTGTCTAACATCATGGCAGATCACAACGTTTTAAAACCGTGAAAATGACGAACTAAAAAAGAGTGCGTTAATGAAAAAGAGATCGTTAATGACGTCCATTAACGCATCCTTTTTTCGGAAAAAAAATTCATTAATATTCACATTAATAAGTGGTCGACGAAAAACGCTATTAAAGCGTACCTTTTTCTAAACTGCGTCTTAAACGTTCAATTAAATTTTGATATTTATTAAACTTCGAATATGAGGACAAAAAGTCCATGTTGCCCCAATCTCCCCTAAACGACGCTTTCATAACCTCAAATTTTATGTTAAATCTCAAAACTTAGAAAGGACACTTACCCAGCTTTGCAGAAAACGAAGTCATTATAGAACAGGAACAATGCTGCAAAAATTTAGCAAATTCACCAACGATCCTACGCAAACAAAACGAAGTTTAAAAGTTACACAAAATAACAAAGTGTATCACATCGTGCTAGTCAGTTTATAGTTTATAAAAACAGCCGCGACAAATGCAATGAGAACTCACTTCACTTCGGTTACAAAAACACGAACACAATCCCGTCAACAACATAATAAACAAGCAACGTGTCTATCACAAGCATAACCGTACCTCGTGCTAAAACTTGCAGCCACAGAACAGCTTGCACCGTTCACACCGGTGGCAACATGGACTATTCAGTGTTGCCAACTTTTGACATTCTACATTCCCACTTACAAAGGTAATAATTCCCATATTTTCTCACGCATATTTAAAATGTCACCACCTCTCTGGCTAACTTAACTCTGTTTTTTGAGGGAGAGCCAACTAGTGAAAATTGTAAAATTATCATTGCAAGAAATGAATGTTCATTAAAATCGAGTTAAAACAAAAAGTAAAAATTTAAATGACATACATATTACAAATAAACATCAAAACTTCATTACACAGTCAACACATAATACACATGAGTTTTGCACTTATTCTATCCAAACAGTTATAAATATTAAAAATTTCGTGTTTTGAAGAAGTCGGTACAATTATGAATCCACCATGTTTTCTGAAACCGTTTGAAGAATTATTAATAATGGAATCGAACACAAAATAAAACTTTTCTCTAATTACTTAGATATAATTAATTCTTATGAGTTACCTGGAAGGAAAAAACCAAACTTTGTCTATTCTGTAAAAAAGAAAAAAAAAGTATCCAAATAGTTACTAACAAAACTATCGATTATGCTATTAATTCAAATTTTTTCAGAAATTTACGATGGCTTAGCTACTATAATGAATACAAGATGGTACTCTTTTTTTCTTTTCTACTTCAAACTGTAAATTGTTTGACTATTAATATTTTTCACGTCCACTCCCCAGCGTAAATTTTGGAAAACTGTTGGGTGTAAGGCGAAATTTAAAATTTGTCAAAGTCTTAAATGCCAAAGAACTTGAACGTAACGACATCTAAAAATGAAATTCTGTATTTTTTCCACACAGTGCACTAACACAAAGTTAGTTACTTAATTTAAAGCATGGGCATGTTGTTTTGTGGATCTATACAAGATGATTATTTTATCTGTTCACGCCTGGATAAATCTGAGTGGACAACACATTTTACTTTCCAGAAACGATTTAGTTTTAAATTTTTTATAAATAATAAATAACTTGTAGAGGGCAACGATTGCAAATTATGACAGATTAATTCTAGCAGTCCAATTATTTTCAACTTTTAATTAAGAATAATGTCTTCGAATTCCCCTGCTTTTTAACTTCGAGAAAGTGTGCTGGGAATTTTAATGCTGCTGTTCATCTACATGTCAGGCGATACAATTCCTTCTAACCAGCATTTTTTTCGAAAAATTATACAATTTGATGATGCGAATTTTATATTTTTTTTATGAAAACCCTTATAACTTAAAATAAAGATATGTATGTAACGTCAAAGTGAATGTAAAGGAATGTGCTACGCATACGTTTCAAATGAGTTTTCCCTAACAAAATTTTGTAGTGACGTCGTCAAAATTTTTTTTGGATAGGTGCACTGTAATACTAATGATAACAGTATTGTACTCCCAAATTTTCGGCAAAATCGAGTCAGCCGTTCCCGCTTTAATCAATAAAATAAATTGACTTGTTCATTAATTTTTATGAGTCAACCAGTATAAGAAATTTAAAAACTTTTAATGCAATAATAAATTACAAGTATAGACTCAACATATTTTGCATATTTTGGGTCGAATTTATTCAGCAAAATTTTAAGACGAAGGGGGATAAACAGATATATTTTGATTAAAAATTTACCATGCTTACAATAAGTTTAAAACGTCTACAAGATTTCAAAGCAATCACTTGTGCAGTTCCTGATTTAATCGATAAAATAAATTGGCTCTTTCATTAATTTTTGTTGGCTCACCCTATATAAGTAATTCTGAAGTCTGTAAGTGCGTTGTTAAACCAAAATATACAGTCATTACATTTTACATATTTCAGAGCAGATTTATTGGGCAAAACTTTGAAATGACGGCTTTAATCATTACGATAACCTTAAAATATTCATAAAATTTCTGAGCATTCGGTTTTGCAGTTTCAAAATTAAACTGCAAAATATTGTTATACAGTTTTGAATTTTTTTTTTTTTCAAAAATCTGGTTGTCTAGAGGTAAAATTCACACACCACAAGTACAGGAGCATCTTACTTTATAAAATGTAAAAAAAGTTACTATTATAAATTTTGGAGATGACGTCATCCTATTGGTTGATAGTTAGCCAAATTTTCGTTACCGTTTAACCAGAGATACTACCAATGGTAATTATAGCCACTAGATTACATGTAATCTAGTGACTTTAATGGTAATAGAAATAGCGCACCGCCAGTGGATGTGTGGCCAACTAAATAAAAAAGTTCGCGAATTTTAAAGGAATCGTTATTAATAAAAGCATGTGAAAATGAAGTAGAAAATGTTCATTACGATTCAAGCTATTGTCACCGAAAGACTGTTATTAGTAGGGTGACAATAGCTTGAACCATAAAGAACATTTTTTACTGAAGATTGAAATGAAACTTTTCTGTTAAAAAAAAATAACATTTATTGAAACAATTTAATTAAAACTTAATCTAATTAAATCACAGAGACAATAATATTTATTCCTACAGGTAACACCCAATTACAGGAATAATATCAAACTAACTAAACTAATTCATGACAGCAACTTAAAAGTATAAATATTTAAGAAACAAAAGTATCTATAATTAATTAAACATTAAACCAAATTTACAATGCAATTACAAATACTACAACTAGAATCTAAATTAAGATCACATAAATGTGCAATTTTGTTGAATAAATTAGACATAGCCGAAACTGAAGAGCGAACTGTGATGTTTGTATGGCTAGAATCAGTATAAAACAGAACTTATTGGCTAGAATTAAGTAAGTCTAGGTACAAGCTTTTCTGAACATTTCATCTATATCTCCTAGATAAGCTGCAAACAATGCGGGGCTGAGTGGGCATCCTTGTCTCACTCCTCTATTTGTATAAAAACTCTCACTCTCTATTCCATTCACTCTCACCGTATTTACTGTTTCTTCATATATTTCTTCCATTTTCGTTACCAAGTATGCATCTACTCCCTTTCTCCTCAAATACTCCCACATTTTCTCTCTATTCACGCTATCAAACGCTGCTTTGAAATCTATGAACAATGCGTACATTCGCCCACCATCTTTCCTTATTTCTCTTCCCACTAAATGCCGCAGGATGTACACATTGTCCATAGTACCTCTTTCTTTCCTAAACCCTGCCTGACCGTCTGGTAACATACCCCTTGCTTCCATCTCCTTTCGTAACCTCTCATCGAGTATCATTGCATATATCTTGTACGCCGTATTGAGCAAGGTAATCCCTCGGTAGTTCTTCACATCACTTTTTTGCCCCTTTTTAAATAATGGGATTATTATACCTTCTCTCCACTGCCGAGGAAACCCTTTTCCCTTCCAAACTCCATTTACCACTTCCCATATCTTTTCTTTCACTTCTTCTGTCCCGAACATCCACGCTTCGTTCTGGATTCCATCCCCTCCTGGTGCCTTTCCTCTTTTCAGTCTTCCAATCTGTCTTTCTATTTCATCTTTTGTTATTTCCGAACCTCTCCACATTTCTTCCGTCGTTGTGATTCCTTTATTTATTTTGCAGCATTTTTCCTCACAACCTCCCAATAATTCCATAAAGTGTGTTTTCCATTCATGTATTTTGATTTTCCCGCTGATTTCAGTCTTCCTTCTCCGTTCCTTGTTTATATATCTCCATACTTGCTCTTCTGTTTTCAGGGACTTTATTGTCTTCTCTTCTTCTTCTTCTCGTTTTTCTCTTTTTCTTTCTTCCCATTTTCTCCTATAATTCTCTCTTGCTTTTAGGTACTCTTCTTTCCTTCCCTTGTTATTCTTCCATTTTCTTGCTTTTCTCTTCAATTCACTACATTCTCCGTTCCATCCATTATCCCTCCCTTGCCATATGTATATCTTTCTTTTTTCCGCAGCTTCTACAATTAAGTTGCTCAGTTCCACCACCATAGCTTCTATATCTTCTTTTACTTCGAATTTCTTTTTTTCTAGTCTACTTCTGTATCTTTGAATTCCCTCTTTATCCCATATTCTTTTTTCTAATTCTTTTCTTTCGTGTCTTCTCTCTTGTTTTTCGTACTCTTGCTCTTTTCCTTTGATTTTTATTTCTAGAGGCTTGTGGTCTGATTCTACCCTTTCCCCCACTTTGAAACTCTCTATTTCTTCCCACGCCTCTTCGTTGACAATCCCATAATCTATAACTGATTCTCCCCTCGTCCCTACGTACGTCCATTCACCTTCTTCATCTCCTTCCTTGTTTCCATTCAAAATTTCCCATCCCATTTGTTCTATTATCTGCCACAATATTTTCCCTTCTTTGTTATTTGCTTTATCTTTTGATCCTCTTTTCTCTCCCTTTTCTTCATCTATTATTATTGTCCCCTTATCGCCCAATCTTGCGTTAAAATCCCCTCCTATAAGTATTTTTTCATCTCCTTTTTCTTTTGTTTCCATTTCTATGTTTATCTTGGTTTCTTCCATTTTCTTGCTATAAACGGTTATTATTTCCCATCGATTGTTATCCAGCTGTATTAGTTTCTTCATTAGTCCGTTTTTATTATTACTTCCCTTTTCCAATTATTGCATTTCTTTTCGAATTCCCATTACTATTCCCCCGCTTGCTGCCCCTTTTTCTTTTCCTTTGTCGCCCCTTGACACTCCCACACATATTCTTGTGGTAGTGTCTCTTCCAATTTCTCCCAGTTTTCTCTTTGCACCCAAGTCTATACTAGCCCCACAACATCAAATTTTCCCACGTAGTCCCAGAACTCCTTTTCCTTTTTTCGCAACCCTTGGACATTCCAAAACAGTACCTTCACCCCTTTTTCTCCTAATTTTGTACCAGCTTCCCTTTTTCCGATTTCCCTATCTACATCATTTATTCCTTTTCCTTTTCCTTTTCCTTTGCCTTGTTTGCTTCCCTTTTTCCTCGTTTTCTTCCTTCTCTTTTGGCTCTTTACTAAAAATTTTCTGCCTTCTTAAGTCTGCCCTCTTCTTCATTCCATTTAAAATTTCTGCCGTCTACAGTTAACTTTTTATATCCCATTCTAACCATTTTCCCTTTATTTCTCTCTTTTGTTGCCTCTTCTTTTATCTTGTTTTGAATTTTTCTTTCCGTTTTCGTCAGATCATCATTTATGTAAATTGACGACCCTTTTAAGTTCTTCTTGCTTTTCATTACATTTATTTTTTCTTCTCTGTTTTCGAATTCCACTACATAAACTTTCTCTGCAATTTTGTACGCGCTTTTAACTTTACTCTTTACTTTGACCTTCTCTTCTAAAAATTTTGTCACTTTTCCAATTATCTGATTCTGCTCTCCTGTTTCTATTTCCAATCCCATCATCACCACTTTATTTCTTCTCTTTTCTCTCTCCATTCGATCTAGTTGACTTTCCACTTCACCCACTCTCTTTCCCATTTCTTCCTTAGCTATCTTCCATTCTTCATGCTTATCTCTAATTTCTTGATTTTGCTCCTGTAGTTGATCTCTTGTTTGCTTTAATTCTTCTCTTATTGTTTTAAGCTCCTCTTTAAGCTGTGTATTCCATTCATTCAATAATTGTTTATTACTTTCTCTCATATCATCTCTGATTTGTGTCGCAAGTTCGCTGATCATCTTCTTGACCTCCTCCATCTCTATATCTTCTTGATTTTCCTTCTCTCTCGGTTGCAGAGGTGATCTTACTGTTATTTTGCTTCTTTGGAAGACCTGCTCGTTCTCTTTCGGCGACTCTACTTCTCTATCCCTTTTCTTCCTTTCTGTCCCTTTACTACTCATTACCTCTTTGTCTTTGACTTCCTTCACGGCGGAAGGATATAACCCAGATCGTCTCTTCGAAGGTTATTCTCCTATCCGTGTTTACGTTTATCCGATATCTGTGCTGATCCCCCGATTTTTCTCCCCTATCGCTTCGCTGTTATCGTTTCACTTAAAAACGGCTCCGCACTTTTTGCACTTCTACTCGTAATTGTACTTGCTAGTATTTTGTAAATTATTGCCACTAATGCTGGTTTCCTTTTAATATTGCCTGTATTGTCACTGGTGTGAATTTTCGCACACGAACTCCTATGGACACGTCGGTTCGCTTTGCCGGGTCAATTGGGAAAACATTCTACTTAATAGACACAAAAAAAAAAAATGTACGAATCCGCCCAAAATTAACAGAGATCATAAAATAAAGGTGTGATGGTTCAGGTGTTTAGTCAATAAGTAGGTGTCAAAATCGAGCAAAGTAAACATTTTACCCTCAGAAGCAGCAGATACAGGAGATTTACTTTTGATCTTCGACATATTGTTTGACAGCCTAAATTGCAATGAGAAAGTTCCTTTTTTTAGCAAAAGCTATAAAAAGTGGTGTTACTGCTACTGATATTGTAAATGGTATGCGGTTTTATGATGCCAAGAAGCACCAATATGTTAAAGTTTTGTAGCCTTTAAATTTAGCAAAAACGGTATAACGTTTTGTACAAGTGTGTGGTCTGTGACGTCTGTGTTGCCAATAGAAATGAAACTTTTATATAATTCCTCAACTAATAAGTATTACTTAGTCAAGTAGAGTTTAAGCCGTGACGGTGCAAGAACTGCACAAGTTACTTTTAAGAATGGGTTAGGTAGACAATGTTTACCACTAACGTTGGTGCAAATGGGCAAAATAACTACTTTGTTTTGTTTATTGTTGAACATGTGCATAACACGCTGTAGTTTCAGTGAAAAAACTCTGCTTTACCCAAACGATTTATATTGGTTTGCAACCAACAATGCTCCTGCGTTGACAGCGTCGTTTTAAAACTGAACATCGGCCTATGTTCAAAAATACCCGGTATAAATTAAGTAATATCATTGATTATGTATTTAACATCTATACTCACTTGTAATATAGAAATAGCTTTCATTGCCGTTCGTGGCTACGTAGACACTTCCTAAATTTTATGTTTAGAGTCTGCGCAGAAAGTTCTCGGGAATATATTGTTCCGCTAACCCGCCATACTTCCATTATCCATTGTGCATTTTTGATTTGCTCGTGTTTACAGCGTGTTGGTGAGGTTATTGGTAAAGTTCGTGCATTCCCCATTAAACATTTGATTGTATTTTGAGTTAATTGAGTTAAAGATTTTTGTAAAACGTCTTCTATTTTGTGGTTGTGATAGTTAACTTTACGGGTTTTGCTTTTTTATCTAGTGAATAAGTATTGTTAGTGTGTTTGAAACGTGGGTAAAATTCTGCATAAAATGGCTGCCTTTAACACTTACATCATCCAGATCGTTAGACGGTAAGTTTAGCTTTTAACACGAATGCAGTTTCTGAGTGTTTATCGGCTTCCAAACAAACAAATTAAAAATTGTGAGGTTAGGAAAGCATTGGTTAGGGGAGCGTGTGATCTGAGCTGATGCATTTACTGTCCAATTCAAAGATTGTTAATATTATTGATTCTGTTACTGGGTATATGTGGTTCCCTCTTAGTTGCTTCCGTGGTGTGCGGTTAGTGGTTGACTTAAATTCCATTGAAAGAACTGTTCGACAAGGTGGGAACTGGGAAAAAAAAGATTTACTGGATTATTTTTTTCTGACATGCATAAAAATTGCTAATCCTGTATGGGTACCTACATGTAAATTTGCGTACAAAGTTTTTATTTTTAATGGGTACAAAAATTATAAAAACTATTTTACGACAATTGGTCATCTCCGGTGATACAAATTGGGTTAGATTTTTAGATTCAAATTATGTTAGCTGGTTTCTAGGAGTGTATAGGTACATTCAAAACAGAATTGTCCATTTCAAATCCTGAGGAGTAGGGTCCTGTAGTGATGTTTTGTTTTGTGTCAAAATAGACGGCACCACATTTTCTTTAGTCATGTTGTAGTACTTGGTGTAGACTCACTAAAACTGAAAAATGGGAGCAACAAATAGAAAAGATTCAATTATTCCCTCCTATATTCCACATACTTTTACCATACAACATATATCTTTTCGTCATTTGAATGACCAAAACATTCCACGTATGACTAATTCTCTTCCAATACTTCTAAGGAAAACGTTTTACTCACTTACCAATGCTTCATTAATCTTTTGTCCATATTCTACACTCTAGGTGAATGCTACTTTTGAGGGTAACTATAAGAAATTTGATTATAAACAGTACATAAGCATGAACAGAAAAACATAACTAACCTCTTCTGGCTCCGAAGGTTTCGTACTGAAAGGAGCAATATGGTGAAGTAGATAACACCAAAAAATATTTTATCCAAAAATGCCTTCATTTGACGGTTTCAAACACAGAGTTTCAAACATAAACTTCAGTGACATAATCTTTGACATGGTAAATCGGCCCTTCATGGTTACGTACACAGGGAAAGAAAAAGAAAAGGCACAGTCACACTGCCAAAAAATATGTTTGCTTTTATGCAGTTTAATAACTAAAGGACGAATTTTAGGCCACAAAAAAACATTAAAATAAGCTTCTAAGAGAAAGAAAAGGCAAAATCGGCTTTTTAAACAGATAATTTATTTTATTGGCCCTAATTGTTTACAAATGAAATAAAGTACTTATTGTACCAATTTTTAACAAATCTCGAGCAGTAGCTGCATGTTAATATAATTGAAATAAATTTAAAAAAACTTCGACTTTGATAGTGTCAAAATGAGAAATACGCCAAACATTAAAAGCGTGGTTATGAATAGCTAAAGTCTGGTTTAGAAACTTTGACAATTGTGTGACACCTCTGCCCAGTTTTCCGTGTCCCCGATGTTTCAATAATGTTTATTAAAGTGTAACTAACTTCTGAGAATAGAATTGGTTAATTCTGTTGCCAACTTAAATCGTATTTATTTATCACCTTGTATTCCAAAACATCAAGTTAGAAATTTTAGTGGGTGTGCATTTTAAGGGGCAGCTGAAGTAAATTATTTTGTCCGTGGGAATTATTAGCACCGAAACTCTCTACTTGGATGGGCGACTGTACTAATCCCTTATCTGAATAAATTACCTGAGGACGGTCGTTCATCCTCAGGTAATTTTACAATTATCTAAATAATCTTCACGATTTTTTTTTTTTGTATTAAGAAAGGCATCATATTGATCAATATAAACCAGTAGAATAACAGAGAATGAAACTACCATTTTAGAGGTAACGGATTTATTATATTAAATATTTTCAAAACCAGCAAATAATCTATACATAAATAGTATGTAATAGGAGTATAATTTATAGTATTGTGGCCGTCAAATTATCTTTGAAGTGATTAGGATGGTTGTAATTTTTATTACTCTCCACTGTTTGGGCACAGCATATCTCTTATTTAAGTACTAACTCAATGGTATGCGGTATTCGGGCCAAATTTATGGCATCTATAAGCTTTGGTTAGAGGTTTATTGAGCGCTTGAGGCGTTCAGCTTATTGTGACAGCTACTATATGTATGAGTGATGGCGTTAAGCTTTTTAGGCGTATACCTACTCTCATCCCCAGTAAGTCAGAAAATTACTCAACTTGAAAAATATTTCCGAATCTGTTTTTTCGGCATGTGTTTTAGAGTTTATTTATTATCCGATTTTGATTTACTGGAAAAAGAAGATGCAGTTATTTATCCCGAAAACTTTACAGGGAGGAGAATTATAAATTTGCCGTACTTTTTACAACAATTAAAAATTATAAATTGCCATTCTCCTTTTGCTTGTACTTTTTCGGATATGGATTGCATCAACGAAACACGGAATGGATTAATTAGCTACTTGAAATTTAAATGCCGCTTTTGTAACATCGAAAAAACCATTTGTACTGATGAAAACACTGATCATTCAGAAATGAACATTAATAGCGCCGCAGTATTTGCAACTATTTCAACCGGAAATAGTCATTCACAATTAGTTGAACAACAAGCTATATTAAATATTCCCCAAATGTCATATCGTCAATATAACAAACACCACTTTGAAATATCGAAAAAGATTTTTGAGTCGTCTTTGCAAGCAATGGAAGAAGCTGGTAAAGAGGAGCTTGAATTGGCAAAACAAACTGGCGATGTTGATAAAGACGGTGTTGGTCTGATTACAGTTATTGCTGATGGAGCATGGTCAAAAAGATCATACAAAGTCAATTATGATGCTTTATCCGAGGTGGTACCATATTGTTGTTTATTTCGTTTCTAACATACTGACACTTTTAGGGATGTATTGTTGGCGCAAAAACTGGAAAAATTTTGTATGTAGCTTGCCGGAACAAGTATTGTCCAATTTGTGAAAAAGCAGCTGCCAATAATACTAGCACTCCTGATCACCAGTATTTTAAAAACTGGAGTGGAAGTTCCACTTCAATAGAGTCAGATATTATTTTGGAAGGCTTTAGACGCACTGTTGTCATGCATAAATTAAAATATATTAATCTTCTTGGTGACAGAAACAGTAGTGTTTACAAAAAACTTTGCATCGAACGACCATATGGTCCTAAAGCACTTGTCAAAAAAATTGAATGCATTAATGATTTGGTACGAAATTATGTTTCTAAAGTTAGAATATTATCAGAGACACGTATGAGTTCAAAAGGTCAGGTGGTTAGTGTTAAATTAAAAAAATTATTGAAACAGCGTTTGGAAAAGCTGAGGATAGGGATAAAGTGTGCAATGAAATACAGGCGTCAACAAGAATGTGACACAGAGAAGCAAATTGAAAATTTAAAGAAAGATATTTACAACTGCCCGAAGCATGTTTTTTGAGACCATTCCAGCTGTGACTCTTATTTTTGCAACAATCATAAAGATGATGAAGAAAACTATGTTCCTGTAATGATTGAATGCGGTTTGATGGACGACTTACAATCTTGTGGAGCTCGTCTTTTACACAATGCACATAGTCTTATGTTAAATATGACTAATAATGCGGCAGAAACCTATAATTCTGTTGTTTCAAAATTTGTAGGTGGAAAAAGGCAGAATTTTTCTATAAAAACAGTTATAGCACAAGGTGCCAAGCTGCCAGTTTGTCGTACAATAAAAAAGAGCAGAGCAGTCAAAGCAGAGAAAAAAGAAAAGTTAGACGACAACTATTTCGAACTAAAAAAACAGAAAAAATCGGCTCCTCCTGATGCAGATTATGGCATGATCGACTAATATGAAATGCCTATAGAGATTGAAGAAGCAAAAGAAAAATTTATTGCATCATTGACTTTAAGTAAAGCAGAAATTACGGAACTTGAAAAAAGTACTCGAGGCCCATTTTCTAATCCCATTTAGAAAGCTGAAATAAGTAATAGATTGACTGCTTCTAATTTTGGGATAATTTGCAGAAAACGACCATCAACAACTTCTAAAAATATTATTAAGAATATTATTCATTCTGCATTTAAAGGATCAGCCGCAACTAAATGGGGACAAGACAATGAAATGAAAGCGAAACTTAAATTTGAAGAAGTGTATACCAACAAAATTGAGGACTGTGTTTTTTTTTTGTACACGAACATATGGTTTCCTAGGTGCTACTCCTGATGGTACTATTGGGGAAGACACTATTGTCTTCCCTAATAGTACCATCAGGAATATTCTGCAGCAAATTGTACAATTAGTGATGGCGTAGATCAGAAAAAAATTAAATATCTTTTGAAACAATCTGGGCAATTAAATTTAAAAAGAACAGATAAATATTTTAATCAAGTACAAGGTCAGCTCGCAATTACACAAAAAAAGTTCTGTCTTTTTATCGTGTGGTGGTTTCACTAGATGAATTCCTCACACACTGTGAAAAATGTTTGAATTTAATGTACATTTTTAGTGTCATTTTTTAATACTTTTAATCGGGAAAAAAACTGTACGTTTTATTATTTTATTTTCTATGTCATGATGGCTTTAAAGTTTGACGTTGTGACGTGCTAATGTACATTTTATTTTTTTATAGACAAACTAAACAATTTGAAAAAAATGCTCCCATCAAAACATGAAAAATATTTTTTAGAACGGTTTTGTGAAAACTGCATCTAGATAACTCAAATTATAACGGAAAAAAATTAACAAAACTGCATAATTCCACCGGAAAAGCAGCCTTAATATTTTTGTGTGTTCTAGCATGAACAATGTTTGCATTTCTTTAAGTTGCTCACATTTTTTAGCACTATTTGAAACATATGAATAAATTTGTCGCATAAGGTTTTCGGCTTCAGGTGGTAATTTTGAACATGCCTTGCTGGCAATTAGAGCAGCAGAATGACATATGCACTTCAATAATACTGCATGTGGCACATCAGCTTTTAAAGGGACATAAAAGGAGTTGTTTTTGCCTACCATGCCACTTGCACCATCACACGCTAATCCAATAATATTATCAATTGGGATATTTTTTCCTGCAGACAATTTTTAAAATATTGATATGTTTTTTTGCATGCATCTGTGGGATTGATATGAACAAGCTCGAAGAATCTAGTTTCAACTTTTTTACTGGTTGACCAAAAATTTATTGTTGGTAGTGTCTGTTGATTCATCACAAAGGATGGAGAATTTTACCTGAAAAAAAAAATAACGTAAACTTATTATGTACTTTCATTAGTTTACCTTTTGTAAACATTCAACCAGATTGTTAGTGAGATGTTAGTGTGGCGACCTATGTGTTTACCCCCACCCGCCGTCGTACCGGGGCGGTGTAAGGGTATTTCGTAACAGTACTTTACAATATGTGTATATACACATTTTAAACATAGTTCTCATTCACTAAATTTCAAAATTATATTCTTTCCTCCATGTCTACAACACTTAATAATTAATTTAAAAATACTAGATACTTAACAATTAAAAATCACACATTTTAAACATAGTTCTTATTCACTAAATTTCAAAATTGTATTCTTTCCTCCATGTTCACAACATTGTTGCCATATTTTTTTTCTGGTAAAGCGTAAACTCAATTTGTGAGCAATAATAAGCTTGGTAGTTTAAAATTTAACTCATTAGGAAAAACAATGCTAATAATTAAGTACGTATAAAAATAAGGTATAAAATAATCAAATGTAAAAAGTAAACAAATTTTTGACTTGATTATCGTCAAAATTTGTTTTCATTGTTGTTTACCCAATAAGGGTGTGGGGACAAAAAATCTGCACAAATTTTAATTTACCGAAAATCGAGTTAGCTTTGAGAAAAATGACGGTTGACGTTATGGCATTTTTTGACAGTTGTTAAAAATTGTTATGCCTAGTTCCTCTTGAAAGTTTCAATATTTTTTGTAATAATGGAACACTTAAATGAAAATGATCGCCGATCTGTGATTGCCGAATTTTATAGAAGGCATATGCATTTAAAAAAGTCATTCACCGTTAATCACTTCTTCCAAATGGGGATATCAAAAAGGACAACTTATAGCATTTGCAGAAGAGTAGAGAATGGGAATTCGGTAGAAAGACAAGTAGGAAGCGGAAGACCAGCAAGAAAAATGCCCCAGAAAAAGAGAGAAGCCTTAGTCAATCAAAGTCACGGTAAACTTGGTGTTTCACTAAGAAAGCTTGGACGGAAATTTAAAATTGACAAAAAGTATGTTAGCAACATATTAAAGGAGAATAATGTCAAGCTTGCAACGCGAAAATCCGCTCCCAAATATTCAGAAAAACAAAAGCTGGAACAAAAACGAAAATTAAGGCATCTTTCTGAATCCGCTTTTTCCCCCTCAAATGGAACTGAAATAATCATTGATGATGCATCCTACTTCACTTTTGATGGTAGCGATACTGCTAACAATAAACATTTCTATTGCAAGGAAGGAGAAGAAGTAGATGATAAAGTGAAATTAAAAAGTCATAAAAAATTTCAGTCCAAGTTGTTGGTCTGGTTGGCCATTTCTTCACGTGGACATTCTACTGCGTTTATTTGCCCATCTGGAAATTCTGTTAATGCAGATATTTATGAAAAACAGTGCATTAGGTCTCGACTTGTCCGCTTTATAAGAGAAAAGCATTCGGATGGCAATTTTGTATTTTGGCCAGACATGGCAACAGCTCATTACGCAGCTAACGTTATTGCTGCATATAATGAGTTAAACATTCCTTTTATCCCTAAGGAAAAAAATGTTCCCAACGTACCTCAACTACGCCCAATTGAACGTTTTTGGAGAAATCTAAAGAGGAATGTGTACGAAAATGGATGGGAAGCCTCGACACATGCAGAATTAAAGAAGCGTATACTGCTGAAAATACGGCAAACAAAAATATCGGCTTTTACAAATTTAATGCGCCGTGTTAAAACAAAAATTCGTAAAGCAAGCAGATATGGTGCAGATTGTGTTCTTTAAAGTTGTTTTTATAAATATTGTTGATCACGTTATTAATACCTGCTTTTATAATACAGTTATTCTAGTTTGAAATTTGTGCAGATTTTTTGTCCCCACACCCTTAGTTGAAATATGGAAACAAAAAAAGTGGAAGAATGAAGTGTAGCCAGAAAATGGCCAGAAAGGAAGTATCTTTTTCCAAAATTTGCAATCCAGCCTCTATTAGTATCAAAATTGCGATTGCCATAATATTTCACATAGAGTTAGCTTTACCAGCCAAAAATTCCGTTGAGATGGGGAGATATTTTTTTGAGGTTTACAAATTAAGAATGAAGTTTGGTCTCAATTTTTGATATTTTTTTTTTTTTCTAGATCCAGCAACAATACAATTGGCGACCAGAATCAGGTAGGTTTAGGTTAAGTGGAGTTTTTTACACTCACGTTTATTTACATGTACATTGTTTTTTATATCTGTAATTGTCGAAGTCCAACAGCGCGTTTTTCAGAACGTTTCACCGCTAATACCGCCGTTTGACCTATCGATTATATGTGACTTCTTTTATCGTTAAAGTTTTGTGACTGCGTTTTTGGGGCTCCCTGCCGAACTGACTGTGCCTACACATTGTAAAATATCGTCTCGAACATTGACAACCAGTTGAAATAGGTTAAAATTTCTCGGAAACAAGAGTGATAAAATTGCTTATCACGTCATAATCTTGGTCCTGTGGTTGATGCGGCGCAGGATCCAAATTGTACTTTTTAAATAAACTAATATTGAAGTGCTGTGTACTTTTCTGTACTGGCGTGCTGGGAACTGTTAATACACATGATGTGGTAACCAACATTCTACAGTTGCCCCCTCTGCCTGATATTGGTGAATCTCTCTTCTCTCTTCTTTGAATCTTTCAATTGATAAGATGTGACATTGGTCAATGGGAGACCATACAATGGAACAATATTCCACAGTAGATCTGACGTAGTTGAAATATAATAATTTAATGCATTCAATGTCAAAATCTCGTGATTTACGTATTAAGAGACCCGTAGTTTTTTATGATTTTGCAGTGATGTATTTATAATGCTTGATGAAGTTTAATTTATAATCAAAAATTACTCCCAGATCTTTCACTGAATCGTCCCGCTGTATAGTAACGTTACTGTTGTAATAGTTAATGGGAACTGAAGTTTTCTTATTTGAATATCTCACTGACTTGCATTTTTTGATACAAGAAACTTATGTCTGTCAGAACACAAATGAAGAGAGTCGATGTCCTGCTGCAAAGAGATGTTACGTGTTAGGGAAGTAGCGGCTCCTGCGTAGCTTATCCGCGTGATTATATTTACTGTGCGTGGAAGCACTACATTATATTCAATGTTACATGTATAACTGGTTGCCTAGCTTATTGTGTTGTGATCATGGAGGAAGGAATATAATGGAGGGAGTGAGAGTTCAAATAAGTGATCCCGCGCCAAAATGCGTGAAAGCAATAAAAGGTGCTTCAATATGGCTGCCGCTTCAGTGGCGTATCTTAATAGTATTCATAAGGGGTCCCACTACTCAAAATTATATTCAATGCAAATATTTTTTTTAGAATATCTAAAATTTGAATTTTACTCATAGAAATTTATTTTGTATAATTATAATCAACAAAAAACCCAAATTCACATCAAAGTTTTAATTTTTGCTGCATAATTGTTGCGAGATCTTTGGAATAACATTTAAGGAGATAATATTATAAAGAAAAAACATTAGCCAAGAATAATAAAATCATTATATAAAATTATAAATGACTGGTAGTTACGCTAAGGTTTTGGGGATAGGGTGAGGTTAAAGAATAACAGACGAATTTGTATATGTTGTAATTCTAGAAGCTCGATTTTTTTTTTTTATTAATCCAATCAATGCATATCATTACTTGGTCTTAGTACCAGTAATCATAGAAATGTTGCCTCAATGCCAGTCATTTTCGGGTTAGCGGTGGGTCTTAAAATAATTTTATTAAAAGGCAGTAAGAGAACTGTACTTTATAATTTGTATAATAATTAATATTAATTTACAAATATGTACTAGATAATAATAACATAAATAACATATATGTTTTTATAGGGTATTAAAAGAATACAATATTACAAAATAAAGATAAATTCACTTAAAGGAAATACATACAATTTAAATAAAAAGAATACAGGATTACTACAAAGATGAGTTCGTTTCAACTAAAGGTTTGATACTTTTCTGAAAAATAGTATAAGAATAAAAAATATATATATAAGAAGAAACAAAGTAAAACGTCAACGCAATCAAATATGTTTTAGATTTTCTCCATATAATAAAACTTAACATGTTGTTTACATTTTTTTTTTTAAATAAACCACATTTTGTAACTTTATTGCTCTTTAAAATGAATCAACTTAGTATATCTTTGCCTATCAGAATCTACTAAATAAGACTTACTTTTACAACTCTATTTTATACGCAAATTCAAATAAATATTAATTATTTCTTTCAACAAAAAAGATGTATGGGGGTGATTTCTATGAAGCAATTTCTCACAGTTTAAATTTTCAATGATGTCAATTACAATTTTGCATTTACTAAGTTTGATATGTACTCGCTCATGTGTTCTGTAAGTTTTTTCACTTTGTACGCAAATGGCAATCACATCGTCACTAGGATAGCTCAATCCCCCCTTTGATTTGAAATCAACAAAACTTCCTAATAAGTTCTCTTTTATACCAAAAAGGCATGATATACATATTTCACATTTCAAAGATTTGGCTAATTTAAAAGCAACAAATCCAGCAATGTAAATGACAACTTCCTCACAAAAATTTGTTAAAGATTCCTGCGTAAAGAAATAATTATGTTCAAAATTAACGTCACTTTCCTGAGTAACTTGTACGTCACTCGTTAATATCAATTGATCAGAATTAATAATATTTTCGAGTTTTTTAATTCGAGACGAACATGTCAAAATATTTACTTGCTCTAAGGGTACACAGTTTCCAAAACCACTGTGATTTATTTCTGCGTATATTAATAATTTTTTATATGCAGATTTAAACTGACGAGTAGTAGGGTTATTATTGCAGCCCCCTAAATTTCTAATTTGGAAGAAAAAATTTTCCAAATGATCTTGACTGCATTTATAGGTGGGCAGATACTGTAAAATTGACGTTCCTCCATCACCCACTACATATTGTTCATAAATATTTAATACTGCATGTAAACCAGCTACAAAACCTATAAAACCTGTTTTACGGGGCGAGTGAATAATTAAATCTTTGTTAAAAAATCTCAATTTGGATATATACGAAGTAAAGCAATTCACAAACGTTTTTACCTGATTAATATTATACTTATTTAATGCTTGCTTGTAACCAAATTCCTTTATTCTGCGCGAATTCAATATGTCAAAAGCGTCATTAATATTTAAAATGAAGGTAGCCGTTGCTCCACAGTTCTTAAACTGATCAAGCTGTAAAATATCTCGACAAAACGTCAAAGCTTCACAGACAGACCTGCTTAATAACTGTGTAGCTAGAGCAACTTTCATTTTTTGTTTAAAAAAATTTATATGTCTTCTACGTAGTTTGTTTGCAAGGTGCAGCCCTTCATTTTCTTGCAGTTCATTTAGAAGTTCTAAGTATTTAAAATCAATAACATTATTCTCTCCATCGACTATTCTTCTTTTGTCACCAAATGTGTTACGTATTAATTTCATCATGTGTGAAGGATCAAGTAAAAGAAGTATATTCTCTTCACCAAAGTTTGTTTTCAAATTAGAAGGGCTAAATGAGCAACCTAATGCAGATGCCATTGACAAATTTGTCACACAACCATCAAATGTAATATTGCTAATTTCAATTCCTACACTTTTTACTAAAAATAAACACTGTTTTAGTAAACCTAATTTTTGCTCACTATTTAAAGAATGGCTTAAAAAGTAACCCACGGGGATTTTCCAAGAGCCATTTATAGCAACCAGCATGAAAACTAAAGCTTCTTTGGCCTCTTCATTTTCATTTACTTCGATTATACTACCCATATCAACTAATATTGTTGCCCATCATATTCAATGCAGCGTTTAATAGCAACTTCATCGAACACTAAAGAACACACAATTTTACGTTCTTCAGCCTTTGCTTTTAACACATCGAATGCCTCACTTGTGAAACCTGGTGCACCATTCACTGAAGAATACCATACAGACAAAGTTTTTGGGTGTGGAAGACAGTCCATGAATTGTTTTCTTATAAAAGAAAAAGCCTTTGGGGAGTAGAAATGTGTTGTAACGGCAAATTTTCTTATTTCTGGCCCATATTGATTTGGCAATGGTTTGTTGTTAATTTTAGCCCACATTCTGCTCAACAGTTCTGTATTTTCCTGAAATTTATTAACATCCACACTGTTGTTTTCATAATAGTTGATTTTCTTCCTTAAACTTGAAACAACATCTTTCAGATTACAAATTTTGCGTTGCTGTTTTGAGGTTCTGCGTTTTAACGTTTTAATAGTGCATTGTTGTTGTGACACTAATGTCTTCAGGTTGTTAATTTGTTGTTTCAGTAAAACGTTTGCACATGTTTTTGTTGTTAAATTTTCAAGTTTCTTTGTAATTTCAAAAACTTTATTAGACAATTCATCTTCTATATTCTGTTGAGGCTCTACCGAAGGTGCGTCACAAACTTCTGTATGATGCGTTTCATTGCCTCTAAAGGTCACTACATTGGTAATCTAAAATAAATATATGTATTAATTGTTATATCATGCAGCATGTGAGTTTATTTAATACCCTTTCTTCATAAGTATAAGAAATAGTTGGTACTGAATGTGGTCTTAAAACTACTTTCTGGGCTGATGTTCTATCAAAACACTTTTCTTCAAAATGAAATGAACACAGGAAAAAGTTGTTCACAGACACAGAATTTCCTAGGTGAAGATAAAGGAAGTCTGTCCACAGTTTCTTTAATTCAGGTTTCTGGGGACACCTAAAAGCAATTCAAAAATATTCATTAGTCCCTCTTAAGCAAATATTAAACGAAAAAATACGACACACCTGTGAAACGTTATTTTTTCTCTACCAATTGTTGACCTGGAGCCACTCGTAACTTTACACAATTTGCAACTAACCATTTTAAGTTTTTAAATAAACATGAAACGCTTATCGCAAATTCAAAACAAAACGTTCACACTAAACACGAGGTTAAAAGCGAAAATGACAAAAACAGAATCGTACGACACTGGTCAGTGCTGGCTGATGAAATTATTAAAGTAAGCATGCGCGGTGAAGGGCGCGCTAATTGAAAAGAGTAATAAAAGGTGCTTGCACTGGTGCCAAGAATTTACATTGCCGAGATACGGCGCACTCCCTCCATTATATTCCTTCCTCCATGGTTGTGATGTACGAATTTTAGGGAAAAGTTGTGTGTGGAAAAAACCCTAATTTCCTCTTATCTAAGACTATTTACACTATGTACATGGGTGGGGGGTAAGGGTGATATATTTAGTTTTATAGTTATACTCAAGCTAATTGCTGTGAACATACAGCGATACTTAACTAGGAAGGTATGGTTGTAGGTGTGGTGACGGGGGTTGAATCCAAAATGGCCGAGTCAAACAACAACTTATTTATTCCAATCTTTGGTATGTGTTATCTTATCGGTCTGGTGTCCGGAAGGCGAGAGCGAGCCGATGGCTCACCAGTCTCCTCCTACTCCATCCCCAACTCCCTCAATGGTAGGGGTGATGGTGCCAATTATGAAAGTTAGTTATAATAATCAAAATTAGGTGGCGCCACAAAGGCATAGGTCTTGAGTGGTCTAAATCTAATTGTCTTAATTCAGTTTTTATTGTCCTTAGGCCAATTGCTGTAAACATACAGCGGTACTTAACTAAGGTGGCATAGGCCTTTATTGAACTTGAGCTAGTTTAGGTTTTGGGCAGTAGGCCGGTAAATATGTATGATCTTAAGATATTTTAGTTATTTAAGATATTTACTTAAAGTTAGTGTTAGTATAATAAATGGTATTTATTCTAGTTGTTATTTAGGCAATAGGCCTAGATGGTATGGTATTAAGATATTTAACAAAGAGTTAATTGTTTGAGTGGTATTATATATGTGTGTCTAATCATTGTGTTTGGTTAGATTAATAATAATAGAATATTTTGAAACAAGAGTAGTAATAGAGATGTGTTTATATTATAATATTACGGATAGTTCATTAAATATTTAATTGGATTATGAATAATGAGATTTAGAGTATTATGTGAATGTAATAAGGTTTGTATAATGTGTGGGTTATTGTGGAGATTAGGGAATGTGATTGAAAATTGGGAGGTGCTGGTGCACCAGTTTATGTTTGATATTACTGAACGGGATGTTGCTTTGATTAATTTGTATTATGTTTTTGAGATATTGATTTTGCGTTGCTTGAATGGCAAAGAATTTTTGGCTTTGTCGAAGTATAATTTCGGCAATGCTCGGTACACCCGCCATCTCCCGGAGGGTCGAGATTCGGGTGTACCTGCTTTCATTGAGGCATAGGCGAAGACATTTGTTTTGTAATACCTCGAGTGGATGGTAAAATGTTTTGCCTCGGTTGCCCCAGGCGGGGGCGGCGTAGAGGAGGTTAGGTCTGATAATCATTTTATATGTCGAAGAGTTTATTTTTTATTGACATCTTGCTATTTTTGGAGATAAGTGGGTACAGTTTTTTGATTGCTGTACCCACTTTAGTTATGCAGTGTTTTTGATTACGGTTCATGTTGAGTCGTTTGTCTAGGTAGACTCCAAGATATTTGACTGAATCTTTATGGGTTATTTTAGCGTGTACAACTGAGAGCTTATTGAAGATTTTGTTGTTAGTAAATTTTCTGGTGAATAGGATTTGTTCAGTTTTATGTGGATTGATTTGTAATTTCCAGAGATGGAAGAATTTGATAATTTTGTTTATATGGATTCGTGTTCGAGATGACGCAACTTGCGCATTGAAGGAGTGAGCGTATACAGCCGTATCGTCTGCATACAAAGCAAGTTGAGTCTTCTCGAACTTTGGGATATCGTGTATATAAAGGTTGAAGAGAGCAGGTCCCAGGACCGAGCCTTGGGGCACTCCCGATTCAATGTTTTTAATGTTAGAGTAACTGTTATTAATTTTGATTTTAATTTTACGGTTGGTAGAACTTAATTAATAAAATGAAGTTTGGATTGACATCCGTTCGGGCCATTTTTGCCACGAGGCCGTCAATCCATACTTTGTCGAAGGCTTTTTGAAGGTCGAGCAGTGTCATGGCCGTTACTTTGTTTTTATTGAAGTTTATGATAATGTCGTGTACAACAATCAGAATAATGGACTCGAAGTGAGGTGTGGCAATACATGCAGTAGGCCTCTTTACCATTTACATCTTTTTTTTCTTCTCTAAGCCAATCTATTGGAAAATTTAAATATTGAGTAAATTTCCACGTAATTGAACTAAACTATTATATTGCTATTATTAAATATTAGTGAATTAATGTATTTTTTTTCAAATACATTTTCGCTATTGCCTTCATTAATTGTATTTTATGATTATCTAGTAATCCCTGCGAAATACAATGATCGTTCATATCGGGATTATTAAAAATGTTGGTAATATTTTTGCGAAACAAAAGTAGCAGCATATAATTTACAACATTTACTCTCTTAAATATAATATTTTTGTTTTCGCTAATTATGGTCCCCATTATTTTACAAATGTCTATAACGTCTCTCTTCGCCATAGTTAAATTTCGCTGTTTTTTTAAATTTAATAACATAGAATCTGAAACTGTTGATTTCAGTTGTTTTTTACAAACTGAACATGTGATCCTGATATGTAGTCGACCACATATTCTCTGTAAGGCGATAGATTTCCCATAATTGAAAAACAATAATCATGGTCTTTTTCTCACAGATTAATAGCATTTATGCCTTCAATTAATGTGTTATTGTCACATATTCTGGTGCCAGTCCCTACATGTAAAATAGTAGTGCTATCTAAAAGGTGACAATTGCCATTATGGGTCGTATTTGGTTTCTTACCAATAGCCTTTTGTAGGCACTTCTCAACTGGTAGGGGGATGGATTGTTGATGTGACCACCCCGCTGCCTAATGGCCCCAAAAAATATTTCTAAGTGATCTTGACTTATTTTGTAGCTTAATATATATTTTAAATATTTCGCTATCAATAAATAAATCTTAGTTTCCCAAAGTTATCTTTTAATTTACTCACATATTCAATAGAAAATTGAATTAGGTATCTCAAGGATATTGGCATAATTCTTGGAAGATAAGCCACGATCCAATTCTGTCTTTGATAGTAAATGTTTGGAGTTTAGAATGTCAAACATATTATTAAAAATTAAGCAAACATTGGCGGTGGCTTCACAATTTTCGAACTCCTGAATTTCCAGCTGCTTGCAAAATTTCAGAGCACTGCAAACACTTGTACTGAGAGTTCGTACATCAGATGATACTTTCATTTTTTCATTCTGAAACTATGTCTCGGTGTCAATTTTGTTCCACATCGCAAACCCTCTCTTGTTTCCAGTTGTTGTAGTTTTTCAATATATGCCCATTCAAATGCATTTCCATCAGAGTCATAGAAAATCTCCAAGGGCATTTCTAGTTAATTTTATATAATCGTTTCACGCACTGTTTTCTTTGAAGCTCCGGTTTGTGAAACTTTTAGAAATTTTTTTCTAATTTTTTCACCTGACTGAACCAAGTCTCACTAGGTTTGGTAAATCCACCAAACGAAAGGTACTGAATCCACTGGGATATGCTGCATGAATGTTCCCGTTTTTTTGTCTTTGGTAAACTTTGCAATGTAATTGGGCCATTCAGTCCTTTGCCCCAAGTATTAACACTGTTCAAAATGTCAAATGTTTGATAATTTTAATAAAATCCACAGTAGGTGATCTTTAAAGTCAGAAAAATTTAGACTGTCTCGTAAAAATAACATAGCAATAGCCACAAAGTTGTTCAGTAATTGGGCTGCTAGATTTACTTTCATCTTCTGATTTTCAAATAATATACATTTGTCTCGCAATTTATTTGCACAATAAATCCCATTATTTTTTTGAATTTCGTTTAATGCAACAAAATATTTCTACTCCATGGCATATCCTTTATCATTGTAAATTGTTTTAACACCTGCCAGCAAATTGCAAAATAATTTGAGCATGTGTGCTGGATCCAGAATGACATGAATTTTGTCGCTCTGTGTCTGCTCTTTGATAACTATATCTAAAATTGCAACTAAATGAACCATCAGTTTTTATTCCAAAATTATTCAAAGTTGTCAAATTAGTTACAGTTCCACCACATGTTACTGCTTTGGTGACTGCCCCAGGCATTATGGCTTTGGTTTCAGCATCAAGTCCAGAGATAAGGCAATAACGTATGGGATATTCCCAGGAAGCATTTATAGCTTTTGCATAAAATAGCAATGCCTCCTTAGCTAATGGTGCATCTTCTTGAACTTCAACACAGTTCCCCTAGATCAGTATATCCAATTACAAAAACAAAAAATAAATATTGTAATAAAAGAAATAATAGCAATAAGCACGCTTGATACTTTCCTTCACATAGAAATCAATTTGTTTCTTCAAAGCGATTTCATGGAACATAAGACATGTATATATTGTATTATTTGATTTTTAGACTTCTTCTTTTATTTGAACTAAAGTCTTATCCAGCTGTACTTCCCATATAAGAAGCCCATGTTCTTATTGTTCGTGAGTTTGGCAGAGTAAGATGTTACCTCAAAAAATGAAATGCATGTGGTGAATAAAAATGTATTGATGTGGCGAAAGGTGTTTCTAAATAAGTACAAACAAATTGAAAAGGAATTCCTCCTTGAAAAGTAATACCGACTGTCTATACATATAAAAGTATGTATAGACAGGAGTAAATTCTTTGAATCTTGGTTTAATTTTTTTTTATATGCATGCAGTTACAACGAAAACCCTCGTTAACTTTGTAAGACAAATCACGCCTTAAAACATTATTACTTAATGGTAAACATCATGTTCTGAAATTAATAACAATAGTTTGTTCAAGTACTTCTTATTGTTCAATAAACTCAATCAAAAGGATAACCTCCTTATCTAATTTTCTGATTAACAGGTTTTTTTCAGGTAGGGGAACAGCGTTTTGGACCATTTATTTTTTTGCAAGTGCTCGCATTGCTATGCTTCTACTACTTTTTACATCAGCGCTGTCATTAAATTGTTTTGTTGTTGCATTTAAAACAAAATCCAGTCTAGTTTTGAGAAGGATTTTAACAATTTTCTCAACTATATTGTGACATCATGGAATTCTCATTGAAGGAGGATATTTCATCGACGTTTTCTTGAAAAAATCA